AATTATGGAAAAAATAGTACCTTGCCTTCGAGATCACGCACTGTGGCTTCTTGGTGTCGCAGGTAAAGGCAAAACTCCGTTGGGAAGAATCATGGCCATGATGTTCTCTCGGTTTCATGGAGGTAGCGGTACTTTCCGTACGACCGCGGATTTGGACTTCTTCAAAGCCATCCCCTTCACTAAGCGTGTCCCAGCTCTCTACGATGACGGCAGCATCGGTGATGAAGAGGCTAAGAAGCTAAAGGCTTTCACTGATGTTGGAGATGATGAGTCTATGACACGTGCTCGGTGGACAAGCGCCAAATTTGTTCGCCATCAGCTTCGCATTGTGCTGGACAATGCTTTCAACCCTGACGCCGAACCCGAGGACAACAACACTGAGGAAGCACTGGTTGTAGCTCACGAAGACTTTTTCCTGATGATCCGGCCTGCCCTGGGGACTATGTCTAGGACAGATGCTATGGCCATCCTCAAGCGCAGTGCAGTTGTGGTCTTTGGCAACAAGCATGTCACCTACCGTCTGCCCTCTGAGCAAGCAATCCCAGCGCATCGAATTCGATGGAACAAATCAGACATCATCTTGGATTCCTCCAAGCCAATTTTGCAGAATTACAAGCAAGGTGGTCCACCTCCTCTTGACTATGACCAGCATACTGCATGGGAGTCTGTTGCTCGACGTAACCATGTCATGTGCATTTCCCCTTCGCAACAAAAATCTTTGTATATGTGTTAAATTGTTGCATCTAGTTCGCCGTATGTCTCAAAATGACTGATAACTTCTGTATACAATATTCTTTCCTGAACTTTACTGAGGCATGGTTGCAAGAAGCTATGCGTGTAGCAGATGTCCAACGTCAAGCAGAAAGGCAGCAGGCAGATCGTGAGACAAGAGAGGCACAAATGCACAGCATTCCATTTGTCAAGATGGAAGCTGATGAGTTCCTTTGCAGTGATGTACGTCTATATGTATGTTTCTTTTTCATGTGCTTACACTGCTTGAAAAAGACACTGTCTTTATGTCCATGCGTCATTGCAATTTCTCTGTCTCCAAGGTACAAGGACGGCCATGCCTTCTTGGCGCGTGAAACAGAGCAAGATCCAGTCGACGTTGACCACGACCGTGCAAGTGCAGGCTGGGCCAATTGGGAGATAGCGTCACCCAAAGTAAAGCAGGAGAAGTTTGTCTTCAAGAACCTCCGCCCACTTTCCGAGGCTATTTCGTTGGACTCCCCATCTCCGGCCAAACGCCCCTGTGTGCAGCGCAGTCCTGTTCAGAACCCAGACAATCTACCTGGCCTTCATCTTTCTGAGGATGATGACGTTATGCCTCGTGTTGGTGAAGCTCCTGACGAGGATGCTCCTCTGGAACATGTGGGTGGCGCTGGTTTCAAGGAAGCTTGCCTCATCGTTTCTCTTCAAAATCTTGGCTTGCCAGTTGTTTGTGACACTGATGGTCCCTTCACCATTTCCTTTGGGAACACGCTGTTGCGTCCCTTTGGTGTTCAGCTATGTCACTATGATTTACCCTTTGTGCAGGATGGCAAGTACATTGCGCATGATGCAGCCAAGAAGCATTTCTTTGCCTTGTCCATGCGGGAGGGCTTCGTCCAGAGCATCGACGACACTGCGGTTGCCCAGGTTTCATTGTCTTGCTTAAGATCTATGTTGGACGACTCGAACTTCACCTTCTACAAGTGTCAGGTCTTGCGTGCTTCCAGAAAGATGTTCTTGGTGGTGCCGGCGTTCTCTCAAAGAATGTGTACAGTACTCATGTGAAAGCTTGTCATTGTGGTCATCGTTCTTTGTCCAAAGCCCGTGACATCAAGGCTATGGTTTTGACACTTGCTGGGCCATGTGAAACCACAGCGCGAACCATGCGCTGCAACGAAGATGCTTGCCGGACAACCTTTGGCCCTAATTTCTTCATTGAGCATGGCAAGAAGATCAACACGGCGGCGCCCCAGGATGTTCATGATGTGCTGTTCCTCAATTCCAAGCTTGGTTTCTCTGTGGATTACTTGAAATTCCATGCCGCCCTTGAGTTTCGTGCTTACGTGCCAGCTCGTGCTGCTGAAAGTGTGTATGAATGAGTCTTTGGCCACCCTTTGAATTCAGATTGGTTCCGTGTTCAGCATGCTGACGCCCTCATGTACTGGCTTGTCTTGCAGGAACTTTATGTCTTGGACTTGCACAAAGAGATCATCATTGGTGAGGAATTGACACCTGATTCTTTGCGTGCCTATGATGAGCATCTCCATGATAAAGTCTTTCCTCCTTCCAAGCATCGACGAGCTCAAGTGAATGAGATCGTGGGGGATGGCCATGTCAAGGTGCATGTCAAGCGCGCATGCGGTGAGCCTCCAAAGCACAAAGGTCGACCTCGAAAAAATGGTGCAGCCAAGCCTTATGGCAATGGCTGGTTCATGCTTGTCAACCCAAAGAATTTGCGCATTCTGGCTGTGACTTGCATGGACAAGCCTGAGGACAATGCTGTTGTGCGTGAGACTCTTGCCAAAGCCTTGCCCTACTACAAAAACTTGAACGCTTTCGTCTTGGACAGAGCCTGTGCCTTCGTCCCATCGGCTGCGCATGACTCCACCTTCAAGCAGATCAAGTATTGGGGTGTGGACACGTTTCACGCCCAGAAGCATAAGAAAAGTTGCCCATGCAATCCCTTGTATGTCCGTCGCCTTGCAAGGCGCTTCAAGGGTGTCAACATGTCCGCGGCAGAACAGGTATTCAGCTGGTTTCGGAACTATGCTCGCTTGCTGAATGAAACCAGACCTCTTCGGCATGTTTTCAAGGTTTTGCATTTCATCAAGGAGCACAATGAGGCCATTGATTGTAAGAAAGCTCTCTACTTGAACAAGTACAACGCCAGAACCAAGAAATCTTCCAAGGCCTATGCCTGCGCCAAGTCCCCCATTCGGAAGAAGAACATGAAGAAGTCCATCGTGAAGAAGTAGCGGCTAAAATTGCGAGGACAGTATAAACCGTCTGCGTCTGTCAAGAAAAGGTCTGCTGCAAGAACATGCGCTGCTTTGCTGTATACTGTTGTTATCACATCAAAATGGTTTTCACTCTGCAAAATTCACATAAAACCCTTTAAAACCTTGCAAAATCAAAACTTTCACATCCCCCCCCCCTCACCCCCCGCTCTCTATACTTTACCATGCCATACCGTACTATTATACTAAACTATACTATATCACAGTAATCATCCTAATACTACACTAAACTATACTGTATTACTTGTTAAACATTTACCGAGATATATAATATGTTGTGTGTATAGTTCTACATAATATATATATATACAGCTATTAAGTTCATATCTATACTTGTATATGTACTATAATTTATACAAATATAGAGAAAGATTTAAGCACAAAGTAAAACTGTTACAAGCAGCCAGGTCAAAGCTTCACAAGCATATGTCAGCAGGGCATGCAATCAGTTTTGCATGGCCATCTGCAGTCAGGTAGCATTTGATGATGGTGTTCTAGCAGTGCTGGACGATGGCAAATGGTCACACAGGAGATGCCCAATTCGTTCAAGGCCTCCATGCCAGGATATTGCATGGCACATCGGAAAAGCAGCAGGTCCCGCAAGGGGAATGCTCGTCCTATCCTCCTCGTGCACTACAAATACAGGGGGGGGTTCAAGGTCTTGCTTCGTCCCTCGGCAAACAAATGGAGAACCACTACAAACCTTGGACATTAGCATGCCATTCTGAAAGGCGAGATGGTTTCACACAGAAGCTGGTTCAATCAAAAAGTCATCTTTCCATCCGTCCGTCTGTCAGTCCACGCATGTATTCATGCATCCATGTCCTATGTTGCAGTCTCTGATCCTTCGTCTCAATGAAAACTTACGGAAGTTGATTGTTGATGCGGAAGGCTTTCTAAAGTGGAGAGCAAGACAAGACACCAGAGCACGCTTGAATGATCCCAGATCTGCTCGCGTAGCTGTCGACAAGGGAGGTAGGCCACAGACAGTTGTTTCTGCAAGGACACTTCTAAAAGGCTCCGTCCCCAATGAAAGAAAAGTCGATGGTGAAGTCTGCCAGACTGAGTCTGGCATGGTGAAGTTTGCCAAAGGGCAATTCTTTTCCAGGCAAATGTCCCACTGGAGTCACGGAGTTTGGAATGAAAGAACTGCGCAACCGTCTGCAAGGCACCGCCCTGCCGTCTGCAAAGGCCAATTCATTCGGATTTGACATGAGTTTCATCGCTTGGGATTTTGACGACAAGCAACCGTTCCGAGTCAATGATGCCCCGAAGGCCCGAAGGCTGGCAAATGCATCTTGGTTGGGCTATATCACACTAAGCGGTTTGAAGACAACACTCACAACACTTAGCTCCAGCCAATTCCGCACCACTTTCGCGTCATTGGCTAGCAAACTCTGGTCTTCAAGGACCAAGTAACCTCCCATCTCTGGAGTAAACTTTGAGTTTACCACTAGGCAGCACTGCTGAAAGTCTCATCATGGAACAGACTTTGTCTGAAATCTGATTATCTTGTGCTGTCTGCTGCAAAATAGATAAATAGGTACAGTAATTCCTGCGGAAAAATGTGCTGTGAGTGGGAATCGTTTCGATTTATTTTCTCTTCCGCTGCAAGAGTACACTGAATTCTCTTCAGAAAGTGTTCATTTGCCTTCTGAGAATTCTGGACCTGAACCCCCACCAGGAAGCCACAAAAAGCAAAGCTGTAATTAAAGACCACCTAATAAACAGATTCAGGAAATTGTGTGGAAGCCTTGGCGGCAGCGGCCTCCCACTACAACACATGAATATATAGATGAATGTGCTAATGCCAATGTAGACACAGTATATAACAGTGTAGTATATACACATCAATGCATCTACTCTCCACCATGCCCAGTTCTCTGCACATTTCCTGAATGATAGTCTTCAACGTTTTCCTCTGCTGGAGAACAAAGGGAACCTCCTTTCACGAATTTCACAGGTTTATCATTCTTTATCATACACATCCGTCTATTCACTGAGCACCGCAGATCTGGAGAAGAGTCTTTTCGGACTCGCCTGGAAGAGCCAGTGCTCCAGGTCCTTGGACACCTAGCCACAGCCCCGAGATCCCCAAGTCTGGACTAGTAGCTTCTTGCTCCTAGTAGCGATGCCCTTGTTCACAGTAGCTTCTTGCCACTAGTAGTAATGCCAGGAGCTACTAGTAGCTTCTTCCTCCTAGTACCCCCTTTCATCTGCTTCCAACAAATGTATGTTTCGCAAACTTGTCTCGATGCATTTGCGAGACTGTGCGATCGACAGACACTCAGAGGCAGACTGCGGAGGTGCACTCGTCAAGAACAGCAAACTTCGGCCGGTGGTAGAGAACCTCAGCAAAAGTGGCTAGTCACACTATCAAAGTCATGTGTATCACGCAGATCAGAGCAGGATTGGACTTAGCTGCTGTCAATATTCAAAGGTGCTAAGCCATCTGCACGCGCAATCCCCAGACGTTGTTGCTCGCTCAGAGACAACCTGAAGGTGCATTCCTAGAAAAGAGCTCATTTTGGATGACAAAGCAGTTCATGTTCGCTCTTTCACCGCACTACCCTGAAAATGAACGAGAAACAAAAAGGTTTACCCCCTCTTGCATAACGTACAAGAATGCTCGCAGCCAAACTAAAGTGCTTGAGACCAGATCACTCAGCAGTGTCAGCATCAAGGTATTGGAAAGAAATTCAACTCGGGCCTTGAACCCCAATCAGCTTCTTCCTGCAAAGTTCCTTTGCTTTCCTGAAGAATATGACCACTTTCATAGAGAGGTTCAATCTAAGAGTTTGCAATGGATGATCTACAGTGAGGCTTTAGCAACATCAAGGATCAAGGTGATCCGTTCCTATTTGAGGAGGCGTGGCAAGGCTCACACATCGCTGAGGCCAGTTCAGCTCTATCCACAAAGTGAGCCATGCCGACATACGCCAACCACTGCCTGTGGGGGGTAGTCAACAGGACTACAAATACCATCAAATACCCATCTGGTTGACACGCCTCAAGTCCTGGGCAGAAAGGCCGCCCGGCACTGGAGTCGGATATGTGAGCTGGTCCTTGGCCGGCAGCAGAGGACAACTGTTCGGACATTACTTCGCCAAGAAAATGAAGCCATGGCACTGACAAAGTTCCCACAATGTTCATAGGTCTTTGCGACAAGTAGTAGACATCTCCTTGCAGAATCGGCAGTACATCGGCACCCACGAAAAGCCACGCTAGGGAACTTGCTGTGAAGCCCACTTGAGCATGCATTTGGACACGTGATAGTCCCCTTTGCCTTCAACGGATTAATTGCTGCTTTGAGATCGAGAGATTCCCAAAATCAACCAAGCAAAGCTTTGTCAAGCTTCTATCACTCTGCTTGCCCTGACCAGGACTGTCACCTCTTCAACTGAGGATGAGACCACAGGCCAAAGGCCTGCAAGGCAACGGAAAATCGAGGACCTGAGAAACCAAGTGGCATCTGAGTCCAGGAATTTCCTTTACTTCGCTGGTGCCAAATACATTCAGACTTAAGTGAGCATCAATGAGCTTCCAGCTTTCCAGCACCATTGTGCCCGCAAATCACCAAGTGTCTTCCAGACTCCACCTCCAAGGTCAAGTCCGACTTTCAACCGTTTCAAGTCCATCTACCATTCAAATCGGATCGTTTCAAGACTTCTGAGGAAACGTCCACAAGCTGCCTCTGGGATCTCTGAAGGTTGCATCGTGTGACAAAATCCGAATTGACGCAACTCAGAATTAGCTGATAAAGCATCAAAGATTTGCCTTCGCAGTCCCCCACCCCACCCCCAAAAAGCGACCGAACCTATAAGATCTTGTGTGTTCATGAGTTTCTCGGCTGACTTTAATGTGACACTTTCTCACGAACAACCGACTCTTAACTACCTTGAACGTGAGCCCTGCAAGCAGGGGCGTGCCCGTTGGCGTCTCCTCAAAGCAAAATTGGCTTTGCTTCACAAAGAACAAGACAAACAAGTGATTCTGGAAGAGCAAAGGCAACAAGTTGCAGCAAGACTCTTTGAGCTTCTCTCTACAGGTGACATGGAAATTGCTTTTGACAGGCAACGGTCGTTTGTGAATTGACAGCTCAGCTGAGACCACAGCGATCGAGACGCCTTCGAAGGCAATGTGGGCGCCTTCTCTGAATCTTCCAGTCGCCTTTCAGCTTCATTCACCCGAGATGGAGTAGCTCAGCATGAAGAAAGGGTGATCTGCCTTTTTAGCTACAGTAGTTCATCAATATTCACCGCTGTTCGCAAATGCATGGTTCTTCTCCATGTTCATCCTCGTTGGTCCCGGTTCAGAGAATCAGATCAGCATTCGTCACACTCCAAATGTTGCCCCAAGGTCTCCGCATGGTGCAGAGCTGCTCCAGATGTCGAGGGCATGCAAAAAGACATGATCAGTTTCTACCCATGATCTCGCTTTAGCTCCCGGAATGCACACTCTGTTCTAGAAGTTGATGAATGTCCTATTGCACTGCTTGACGGTTCCAAGCTTCCTGAGTTCCACTATGTAGGTCCTTTCTCCTCCGGACATTTCAGGTTATTGCATTGCAGCCCCGGTACTCCTATGTCTGCTGTTTGTCCTTCGTCCAGAACCACAGTCCGGCTTTGTTAATGTGCTGGTTTTTGTGTCTATGCTGCTTCTTCCCTGTTCAAAATGCTCAACAGGATTCGGATTGCATGAGATGGTCTGCGCCTGCTTCTCCTCATCCAAGGTGGCAAAAGCATCTTGCAATTGCTCCACCTGGCTAACTATACATGTCGGCATCCAAAACATTTGAAGAGCTTGGAAATGATGGCTTCTCTGAGATGATTGCTCTGGACAGGCTCTGTTGAGACCGCTTGTAGGTTTCTACCCTTGGCTCAAAGGGTGTGGCCAGCGGTATAAACAGTACAAGGTCACAAGGTTTGAGCAACCATCTTGACTTTATTTTTCATGGCCCAAGCATTGATCTGACACAAGGCGCATGTTTGATGAGAGTGTGATGGGCCAAGTCTCGCCGAGAAGAAGCTGGAAGCTCCCCTCACAGCGTAAAAGACCTGCACTGCATGTTTTGGACACTTGAGAAGAAATACAAGTTGAGACTTGCACTGCATGTCTCGCCTGCCAAAAGTCACTGATGTTTGCACCATACTCATAGACCACGGCCTCGGGAGCTGGATGGAGACAACGAAAAACACTCTCGCCCTCGCCACCTCTCGCCTCTCGCCCCTCGCCTCTCGCCTCCCTTCCTCCCTCTCTCCCTCTCTTCCTCCCTCTCTCTCCCTCTCCCTCTCCCTCTCCCTCTCTCTCTCTCTCTCTCTCCCTCTCCCTCTCCCTCTCCCTCTCCCTCTCTCTCTCTCGCGGGCCTGCCTGGTTTGGCTGCCATGGGTCCAGAACTGCCCTCCCAGGTCCTGAGGGGAGATTCTGCGCAGCTTCTTCGAGTCTTGCAATTAACATTTTGACTCCTAACTCTTCTCAGGAAGTGGCCATATGCGCGCATTGCGATGAAGGCTGCTCCAAAGGATGCAACACTTTGCCACATGCCAGGCATCACCTGGTCGCTTGCTGCGACCCACTCGACACAACTGGCCATAACAGTCTAAGAATCAGGCTGGATTCGATATGAAGTGCTGGAACCTTTGCCAGTCAATGCATCCTGAAGACATCCTTTTGGCAACACGTGAGGCTTCAACCATTCGAAGCATTCCATTGCGGCCTTACGGTTGCACGCTGGACTTTCTGCGAACCAAGACCATGTCACAGGAGGATGAATCTGTATGTAAGGTAAAAACAATAAAAACTACTATACAAACATCCAAACTCGTCGTCGATTGGCCCAATTCGTTTGCTCAGCGTGCGCTCGATTGGCTGCATGTCGATCCAAAACATCCTGCGATACAAAAGTTTCAAAGTCGTCAAGAGCCTCTTGTAAAATTACACCACCGTAGACCCCAAACAGTTTGTGTTTTTCGAATCGGAACACTCTGCAACTAGAGCCTGCGACGTCCAGAGCTGGGAGACAAAGGATTGCAAGGCAGAGGCGGCCACAGCAGTCCAGAGCTGGGAGACAAATGAAAAGAACTGGGAGACAAGTGAAAATAAGTGGGAAACAAATTAGCCCAGCTGCAGACCCCAATAGCAAGATACAAACCGGGACAAAAAGAAAAATCTGGAAACAGCTGCTGTTTTCAACACATCGACCATCTCTTCCTTGGACACCATCATCACATAACCGGGACACCATCACAAAATGACCAGGGCACCATCAAAACATGACCGAGACACCGTCACAACATGATTGGGACACCATCACAACATAACCAGGACACCATCACAAGGTGACCGGGACACCAGCATGACATGACGGGACACCATCACAACATGACCGGGACACTATCACAACATGACCGGGACACCGTCACATGACCCGAACACCATCAAAACATAACCGGCACACCGCCAAAACATGACCAGGACACCATCACAAAATGACTGGGACACCATCAAAACATGACCGGGACACCGTCACAACATGAGCGAGACACCATCACAACATGACTGGGACACCGTCACAACA